ACCACTGTGCCACCAGGGCTCCATTGTGTCCATGGTGAAATCAAAATGGAGCTAATAATAGATGACCATTTTACTTCACAAGGCTCTTATTGTGATAATAGGTGGGGAATAATTTGAACTTTTCTGAAGAAAGTTTCTGTACTATTACAGTTTTTTAATATCATTTTATAATACAGCTAATTTTTGCAAGTAGTTTATCTTATTTGATGTTTATAGTTGTACTTCGAGGCAACCACCACAATAAGTAGACTTTTAAAGTATCAAATTAGATTATAAAAATGGGTACATTTTTATGTTGCAGGAGGTTGACTATAGAATTAACCTATCTTTTTTTTTTTTTTAACAAAAATGTAAGGCTGACTAAAGATTGTTTGGGGCCCTGGTGGCACAGTGGTTAAGAGCTACAGCTGCTAACCAAATGGTTAGCAGTTCGAATCCACCAGCCACTCCTTGGAACCCTATGGGGAAGTTCTACTCTGTCCTGTAGAGTTGCTATGTTTCAGAATTCACTGACGGCAATGGGTGAAGATTGTTCAGCCTCTAGTATGCGATTTCTTTTCATACCACTAGACAGCGCAATTTGGGGCCTAAAACCTACCAAAAGAATTTTTCAGAGGCTTAGTAATAAAGTGACCTCCCTTTTGGAAAAGGTAAAGTGACGAAAACAAGTGAGAGGATAATATTATTAATACCTGAAGTTACACGGTCATTCTCTCCCAGAGGCAGAGGAGTCTAAAGTAGAGCATAGGTCAGGAGATTTATTCCTAAATGCTGCTGTGTCACTTAATAGCTTTTAGAGGAATTACTGACCCCACATGGGCTTACTTTCTGTCATCCATTCAATTCTCTTCAATTGCATTCTCTTTCTCTATTTCCCCCTTTTTGCTTCTCTAGAACCAGAACAGAGACTCTGAGTTCTGTGGACGCCACAGTATGTAGGTGCTCAGTACTTGGAAAGGATGATAATGGTGTTCTGCATAAATTCTGAGGTCTGAGAGGGCTGCCAAACAGAATTCACAACCATTAGGTGCTATTCCTGACCCTGCAACGCTCTGTGGGCAGCATATCACTATGCTCAAGGCACAGTTTCCTCTGACCTTGCCCTACTTCCCTATAAAACAGACTAACATTTGACACTTGCCTCCTCTGAGGAGAGTTTACAAGGATTAATGAGACAATGCTGCCAAAGGCCAGAACTTTTCATGAAAGCTGCTAATTATAAGTGAAGCATCAGTGGGTGAGTAAATAGCTAAAGACTGACCCTTCATCTGTGTCAAAATCACTCCCACATGAAAAAGAACATTCTGCTGGAGAAGTTAAAATGATTGTTGCTGTTGTTAGGTGCCGTCAAGTCGGTTCCGATTCACAGCACCCCTGTGTACAAGAGAAGGAAACACAATCCTTGCTGTGTCTAAGCCCATTGTTGCAGCCACTGTGTCAGTGTATCTCATTGAGGATCTCATCTTTTCACTGATCCTTTACTTTACCAAGCATGATGCCCTTCTCTAGGGGCTGGTCCCTCCTGATAACATGTCCAAAGTTATGTAAGACAAAGTCTCGCCATTCTACCTAAGAACAAATCCTGCTAGGCCCTGCATAAACATGTACCCCATATTGGCATATTTACTTTTGCTTTCAGCTTTATATATTTTTTCCTGTGGCTAATCAGGCATATCCTGGCAGAGAACAGCAGGTACCTAGAAGGTTTTATGTGAGACTTCCAATTGACATAGCTATCTCTGGGAAGGACTTTGATGGAACATTTGTTAGCAGCTACTTTTAGGTTAACGGTGTTGTTAAGAAGTTATTGCTTATACTGACCTTTTCTCTACTAGAGAAACCTACTTCCCTTGTGTTTTTCTGATTAAAATTAATTTGTTAAATGACTCCTTTTGAATCCACAAGTCTACTCAGTGCCAGTCTGTACTCTGACTGGGGCTCAGTTAGACAAACATCCAGCATTCCCCAGGTCAAGGGCGTTTACAGTATCGAGCACATTTCAGATGAGCCCTTTTCTTCCGATGTGCATCAGAGAATAATTCCAGATTCTCAGTAGTGAGTTGATATATGCTTCTACCTCTTGTTGATTTACTCGACAGATTTATTTATTTTTTTTGGTGTTCTGTTAATCATCTCTTTTCAAATATAAGAGAATATATTATTAAATGGACAAATATATGTACTGTAGAAAACACACACACATATATTTAGAAGAATACATATAAATATATATATATTTAGAAGGATAAATTAAAAATCCCCCTTTCACTGGTTCTTTAGAATAGAGTCTCCCATCAGTCCTTGAAGTTATTTTCTTCTTCAGATGCCTAAAACCTAGCAAGTAACCTTAAATGCATAAGACTCAGGTTTTATTTTCTACATTATATAACTTTCCAAATTATCAGCCAATGTTCTGCTGGCATGAGGATCTTCAAGCTTGACTTTTCCTAGACATATTTTTTGTTTAATATTATATATCTGTACTAAAACCATGGGATGGATTTGGGGAGGGGTCCATGTGGGTCATTCTCAAGGTGATCTGACCATCCTCACTACAGAGATGCTGTACTCTACCAATCAAAAGGCCCCGGGGGGCTACAGGATAGTATTGCAACAAAAACCACAACCATATACATTTATACATTTCGTCTACATATTTTCCACTAAAAAAGCTAATATTCTTCAAGAATTGGTTTAGTGAAAAAATATTTTATTTTTCAGACTACTGGTAAAGTATCTTAGTTATATTTTGTCAATATAGAAAAATACTTTTAAAACCTGCTTAGCAGTATGGTAAACTCACTGCACTAGGGTCAGAAGACCTAGATTCTAATTTCAACCACTTGATTTACCAGTCATAAAATAATAAAAATAATAATAACAATAAGTGAAAAAAATATTTCATTTGGATTATGTTTTTGAATGTACAGTTTTTTCACATATATTATTATTCAATTGTCATCTTATTCTTTTGGGGACTCAATTTTCTTACCTGCAAAATGGGGATAATAACTCCTACTCTACCTACTTCATAAGGTTATTGTGAGAATAAAAGAAGAAAACTACACAAAACTGTATTTAGAATCACAAACACTATACAGTAACTGTCATTCATGTAAAGAATCAGTTTGGCAACCTATAACAATGTTAAGGTTAAGAGTAGAAAAGAAGGATGAGACTGACTTAATTGGTCAGTCATGAAGACCAGGAAGCAGCATTCCTGGACCTTGTAAATATCTCACAGCCATGCATACTTTCTTGGTCTCCCACAAATTAACAAGACGCAGTTGATAGCTATAGGCCTGCAGCTTAAAGGAATTCTGGCAAAAGATGCATTTCCCAATTTTGTCCCATATACAAGAAATTTGAGATGGTCCTGGATGACGCTAGGTTGCCCCTTAGGCATCAGGGCTATGAAAGTACTTGAACTACCTGCCTCTACGAAACCTTTATTTTTCTCTTGGGAAAGAAAACATTGCTTAGGAATGACTATGACAATATTTTTTGAGACATCCAGAGACTACTTCCTTCCACATACTGAAAATGACTATCTAAAGAAACTGGCTTGGGGCATACACACTGTTATAGATTTAATTGTGTCCCCTCCAAAAATATATGTTGGAATCCTAACCCCTATATCTGTGAACGTGAGGTTTAGGGTTTTCTTTTTTATGTTAAAGAGGCCATATCAGTGTAGGGTCCTAAACCTAATCACTTCTGAGTTATAAAAAGGGCAGCACAGACACAGAGACAAGCAAGCACAAATGGGGGAAAGATAGAGGCCAAATAAAAATTGCCAAGGAATTGATAAACACCAGGGCTACAGAAGATGACACAAAGATCTTTCCCCAGAGCTGACAGAGAGAGAGAATTCACCTATAGCCGGTGCCCTGAATTTGGACTTGTAGCCTCTTAAACTGTGAGAAAATAAATATCTGTTCTTTAAAGTGACCCACTTGTGGTATTTGTGTTACAGCAACGCTAGAGAACTAAGACACATACTATACAGTTTGCCCTATTAAAAAAAATCACGATAATAACATTCTCCTTCTGTTTACTTTCTCAAAACATTTTCCCAGCATAAGACATACACTCCACACACACTATGTAGTCAAGAAAATTTACAGATGCTTAAATGCCTGGAAGCATTTCTCTTTCACTTCACTGTTATCTCTTCCAGTCATCTCTGTGCTGAAATAAAATGCTTTTTGATTAGAATCCCCTCTCTCAGCACCCAGCAATGAATATAGATGGAACCTGTCCAATCAGAACAACAAAACCACTAAACCCAAGAAGACTCAAAGATTTTCAAATCATATTGATAAAGCTAAAATGCATTTACCTGTGCAATTATGTTTACAATTTCTGAATAACTATGGCATCTTCTCACACAGGACCGAGCCAAAAAGTCTTCCACCAGCCGTGTTCCAACGCCATATCCCCTGTGGACAGTGGAAACAATGCCATCTGAAAATAATATCTGAGTAATTAGTAGGTCTATCAGTGTTTGGAGCCCTGGTGGCGCAGTGGTTGAGAGCTCAGCTGCTAACCAAAAGTTTGGCAGTTCAAATCCACCGGCTGCTCCCTGGAAGCCCTTTGGGGCAGTTCTACTCTGTCCTACAGGGTCTCTCTGAGTTGGAATTGACTTGTCAGCAATGAATTTGTTTTTTGTTTGTTTTTTGTTTTTTAATCAGTGTTTAAAAATGGATTCATCTCTTTAGCACTTGCAGAAATGTGTAACAAACTGAAGTAAAGATGACAAGTCAAATGACTGCTTGGCAGTGAGTTTCTTATTCATCCCATAGACACTAACCACAGAAGCATAGAGCAACACATCCAAGAAATATTAACTAGTCTACAAGCAGAGGAGTCTGTCTAGAATCAAGACTGGGCCAGTCTCGACAGTGTAAATTAAAATTATTGAAGGTTGGTACTTGTAGCTTAATATTTCTTGTTGACAACTAACTTTCGCATCATTAACTACCGACAGAAACAGGGTGAGAGTCTAGCTAACTTCTTGTCTGCTGCAGGTGTGGTTACTACATGCCCACACTTCTGTTAGCATAGTATCATGGTAGGAAGACAGACATGTCCAGGATGGGCTCGGGAAGCAGAGGAAGAGGAACACAGAGAAATAAATTTTTGTTGCCAGGGAAGGTTTCAGCAACTGGGACTCTGAATTTTACTTAAAAAAAAAAAAAGCCAAATTCAGAAAATTCATTTTTAATTCCAGGGAAACTGAATCTATGGGTCTTAAGGAAGGCATTATATTATTTCCTCCCCATAGCAAATATAGTAGTACCTGAAGTACTTATTCTGAAAGCGTTTTATCGAGATGTTATAACACAACTGAGTAGGTAGCTGAGCGGACTGAGCATCCACCATCAACAAGACAGACTGAGAAACTATGACATTTCTGAGAGGTGTATAAGAACTCTGTCTCTGTCTAATAAGAACATTCAATATAGTTGAAGAAGTATGGCCTAATGGTGAAATTAAAAAAGGACTAAGACTGCTTTGGCCAAGCCACTGGCACAAAGTTGGTCTTTCAATTTCACAACCATGTGTACATAAACAAGTGAAATGATTTGGATGAAGCAACAGAAGGCTCGCCAAGATAAAGACCCCACTGTGTTGTACAAACAAGAATTGCTCCAGGGGGTCTAAAAAGACGTAAGATCTTTGGTGGCCAAGAGGTTGAGGGAAGACTGATTTAATATCAAAGTAGTTATTAATTGACTAATTCCAATGAGATATTTTATTTGTATTTCTGAATGGATAGAAATATTCAACTTCGCTTACTTGACTTTCAAGAAAAATGCTTTAATAAATCTAGCCAGGAAGCAAGCTTACACTGAAAAGATTTTAGAGAACAGAATGTCTATAGAACACAAATAGTGACATGATTTTAAAATATTTCCAGTGTTTTCTAATTATCATGATGCAGATCCACAGCCTCTGGGAAGAGCAATGGGAAGTCAGAACACTATGAACAGTGCAACTTTAATATACAGCTTGCTTTGGTCAAAGAGGATGTTTCTACAAAGCAGATATTTTATAAATCTAATTAATAATGTAAGATGCTCTCAAGAGAAGCTATAAAGAAATCCAAATGTGAATTATTTTTTTCTTAAGGCAAGGCCTTTCTGTAGCCTATCAAAATTCATTCTTTATCTAATATTTCTTTCATATTTCTTAAAATGTGCACCCAACTAGCTAACAAAAGGTATGATTTTTAGTCAAATAAATGAGCTTTTTTGTTTTCTACAGCTATGCCAAAACACAATGTAAAGCAACAGAAGCCAAAAATCAGCCACTGAAAACCCCAGGGAGCACAGTTCTACTCTGACACTCACGGGGTCATCATGAACAGGAAAACAAGCTTAAACAGCTCTCACAGTTACAGACAGTTCAGCCGAGGAGCCTCATTAAGAAGAAAGGAGCCCTGGTGGTGCCACTGTTAACAGAGTTCGGCAGTTCAAACCCACTCAGTGGCACTGTGGAAGAAAGGCCTGGTGGTATGCTTTCAAAAAGATTATAACCTAGAAAATCCTATGGGGCAGTTGTACTCTGTCACATGGGGTCACTACGAGTCGAAATCAACGGCACCTAACAACAACATCAAAAAAAGCCACATGGACCAAAATAAACACAGGACAGTAAAAAAAGAACTTTCCAAATAGAAAAAGGATAAACCTACAGAAAACGCATTTCTGAAGGAAGGAAGTCAAGGATTCCAAAAGTAAATCTTCAAGCTTTTCTTTATGTTGTCTTTTTCTGTCTTCCAACTGAAAATACAATGAAACTTTTTTTAAAAACTCTAAAATGCTCAAGTAGGCTAAATTTCCCTTCCAACCTATCTAAATAGAAAAAAACTTCTGATTAGTACACATTTTCCAGTCACTGCCCTGTTAGAGTCCTTTTCAGGGTCCATAATTAAGAGACTCAAAAATATTGATAGATATTTTATTGTTGGGCAATAATCTAATGATCAAATAATTATTTTGAAAAAAATAAAGTTTATGTATGAGGAATCCCCATTAATGGAGACAAGAAAAACGAGCTTTATTTAAAACAGGAAGGAATCAGTTTTTTATTTATTACTTTATTTTTTTAAGTAAAGCATCATCATGGTAAAAACATTCAAACAGTAAAAACTGTACATAGTAAAAAGAAAATCTGCCTTTTACCCATAGTCCCAAGGAGCCCTGGTGGTGCAGTGGCTAACACTGGGCTGCTAAGGGAAAGGTCGGTGGTTTGAACACACCAGTTGCTCCGTGGGAGAAAAGACCTGGCAATCTGTTACCATAAAGATTACAGGTTAGAAAACCACATGAGGAAGTTCTGCTCTGTCATATAGGGTCACTGTGAGTCAGAATTGGCTTCACAGCACATAACCACAACAACAACACCTATAATCCCCAGTCCCATAACTCTCTTCCCTGGTGGAACTACTGTGGGCAGTTTTTTGCGTATCCTTCCATAAGTGGTCTATGCTTATATAAGCATATATTTATTTATATTGGAAGGAGTTACATTAGAACAAAAAAAGTGCAGAAAAGAGTCAAATTTGATGTTCTATCATACTGCTAAAAAGAATAGCTAGAGTTTTACCACGTTTTTTACTTTTAAGTGACTAGCAAAGAAATGAATGATTTATAACTAAAAAGAAAATGTTCTATGTTTGATATTCATGGAAAGAGTTCCTTCCTATTCCCTCATGCTATCAACCCCAAGAGGCAGTTGTAAGAAATTATGTTCAACTTTAAGATATGGTTCATTGAAATGGAAGAAGAGCTGGTGAAAGGAAGAAAGAGAAGTTATTAAAGGAGAACAAAATGGAGGTGATATTAAGAAATGATGTGCATTCCACAAGAATGAAAGCCATCTACTTACATTTCATCTAAATACTTATTTACATCTTCATCCTTTTCATAATCTTTACACAGTTGGGCAACCAGAGCTCCATAGGTAAGGACAAAAAGATCTTTGTTCTGGAGAAAAAGGGATGATTTCATGTTATAGACAAAGTTACAAACAGTATACTACTATATTTATTTTTTACAAAATCTTGGAGTTGGAAACAGCCCAGAGATCATCTGTTCATGTTTTCCACCCTCCTACTAATTGTCGCAACCATCTTTCACTTTTGAGAACAAATTGTGCTCACATTTAGATACATTGCTGGGGGAAAAAGAGCTGTAAAATAAATTTCTTCATATCAGAACATCTTTCTGTGCATTTGCTTACATTATATAAATTCAAATGTATTTTCATGAAAGAAGTCTCTTCTTATACTAATCGTTAATATAAATTCCTATTGTTTTAAAATTGCCTGTGATACATGCCCACCCTGTTTTCAATTGAAGGAATAATCGGGTGAGACTTCTTTTTACTTAGAGGAAAAAGGGAGATATTCACTTTCCTTATAGATCTTCAAAATATGTCCTATTTTCAGAGTGAATTAAAAATAAAAGATAAAACCGAGGACTAATTAGGTTTGGTTTATCTTAGATATGTTGAGAATACAGGAAACAGAAAATGCAAAGCTCAATCAATCCATTTTTAAAAGCCTTTCTGTTTTGCTTCTGCTTTTGAATACTGTCTGTGAAAAGGAAGAGCATCTGAGAGATAATTTATTCCAATGCTCTCATCCTATAGTCAAGGGAATGAGGCCTCAGGCGGCTGAGTACTTGCCCAACTAGTCAGCAAGTAGCAAGGCCAGGATGGAGCCTCAGACTCCAGGCTTCCACCTGACAGCATTTATCTCTGGGGTGAACAAAGCAAGGTACTGTTTGGAGTAGAGGTGAACAGGGGTGAGAGGGAAAGGAGGACGACTGCTTAAGGAAATTAATCTTACTTTGAACATAATCTTGTACTTTCATAAAAGGGTAATGTGACACCAGGTTAAAAGAAATGTCTTCACCTTATGCCCAGGTATCATGGTATCATGGATAGTCTAATGTGGAGGGGAAGATAAAGCTTATATGAAGATACATATTCATTCTCTCTCTATGTATCAACATATATACATATATATATATACATATACTTTTTTTTTAGCATGGGCAGCAATGGCTCAACAAACCCATAAAATCGTTTATTCAATATTATACTTACTTGTATTTAATTTTAATTTAGTATTATATAATTTTAATCCAAATATTTCCAAAATTGGCCCAAAATCACCAGTGCTCACTCCCTTATGGATGGGTTTCTGTCATGACAAATACGTTTTTTTAATCAGACAGAATATTATCACTAAACAAATTTTCAACTGACAGAAGTTAAATATTTGTATGACACATATGGACATAATTTATGTGGCAAATATAAATCAAAATGTCAAAAATGCATATAGAATATACATTAATTAAAACATTAAGAACACTAGTATGTGCAATTCAGGTATAGGAAAATACCGAATACATTAATATCTTTACTAGGAAATAAGGGGCGTAAAGCAAAAATACTGTTAAACAAATCACTGAAGTGTCACCATGTATTCAATTTTTATTTTATTCTTCTTATTTAAATCTCCCAAGAACCCAATCATAAATCACAAGAAATGTCTGGAAACTATAAGTGAAATATCTGCCTAACATTTAAAGAGCTGCAGAAGATAAATTACTGCTATATCCAATACATACTACAGCATAAAAATAAGCAAAGGTGAAGGAGTGTGGGAGGGAAGGAGAGAGAAAGAGAGAGAGAGAGACAGAGGACAGGCATGGGAATGGGGACATAAAGCTTTTGTTGCTACTAGTGGTAAAACAAAAGAATTTGAAAAAGAGACATAAGGAGATAAAAGTATACCCTACGTACAAGTCATACCCTCAGCGCTGTGCCCATTTATAATCAAGGCCAAACAATGGCATTTCTTCTCTTTCTCTTTCTGATGGGTATATCTGAAATATATTTTACTTCCAGTCAAGTTTCAGGTTCAGTACCCATAAAAGCCAGTTTGCTTCAGTTTACTTCTTTCTGATTCAGGGCCAAGGGCTGTCCTTAGACTGCATGTCCAGTTGGGTCTCAAATTCATACCACTGACCACAGGAAGGGTCCACATAACTTTATCTTCACAGTTTTTAAAACAATAGAAAGCAATCATTTTCACATATAAAAAATAGAATACCATTAATTTTTCAGGAGCTTTGGAGATCTCAGGATAAATTTTTTTAGACTGATATATAAATCAAGTGATTTAGGTACAATATGAATTATATACAATAATTATGTACACTTTTTTTTAGCACCTGAGAGCTGCACAGAAAAATGAATCAAGATCCCAGCCTGCCAAAGAGGGAGCCTGCAAAGCATTACCAACTGGAGTCTGATGGTTGGTGGGCTACAGTTCTAAGTACCCTAGGTTAAATTACTTAAGTTTATCCAATGCCTTTTAGTCTCCTGAAATAACTAACAGAGCTTTAAACTTAATGAAGAGTTTTCACATCTGCATCTTCTCAATGCTTCAAATTATAATGGGAAGATTAAATGAGAATATTTATCCAAATATAATCTGCAAAATATCAAGTTTTAAAAATAACTCTGAACTTGGAATATAGACAGGCTATAACACATGCCAAATTATGGTAATAAACACATTTAAGAGTAGGAAATGTATTTTTAAAGGCAAACATTTAATATCTAGTTTTCTGATTATTGCTATTCAACTTAACACATAATTACTGTTTTATACACATTCTTATTTTATGAAGTAGTAGCAAAGAATTTCTTGATCTTTTTACATTTTCTTTCATAGGAAAGAGAAAAATTTGTCTCTTATATGGACATAATTAGTTAGAAAAGAACACCCTAAATATTTATAAAGAATCGATTATTCTATTGCAGTGTGTGAGAGATAATTTTAACTATTCCCACAGTTGTCATTCACGATTCCCTCCACTAAACACTCCCTTTGCTCCACTGAAAAATTCTACATATAACATCACCTTTCAAAATAAATCAGAAATCACTCAAAACATTTTCTCTGAAGTAGAAAAACAATCTCTTTGAGAATATGATTATAAAAAGATCTTACTGTTTTATGATATCCTGGTTTTCTGTGTGCAGGGCGAGACATAGCGCTTGGTAGACGAAGAATATGATCTTTAATTTCTTTTCTTTTTGCCTATAACCTTAGGTCTTTGTTGTTTTGTCAGTCCCTCCTTGCTTTGAGGCAGAAGTGCTACTTCTGCACTCTACTGCTTTTGCTTTTTGTTGAACTGATGAGGAAAAACGTTGCGAAAATAGAATTGTCTTGTAACTTGCCACAGATCAAATAACTGCTTCACTTATGAGGACAAGCTGGATTGTAGAGGCCTAAAAGCTGATAGCGTGAAGTCAGAACCAGAAACACTGAGATACCGAAAATTCTTTAACCCAAGGGACGTTAAAAGTGGTGTTTTGTTCTCATGCCAAGGCATTGTTTTAAAATCATAAACAGAAACCTTCACAATCCAAGACAGATCTAAATGTTAGCATTATCCCGTCTTTGTATTGATTGTTGTATGAATTAGAGAAATACGATCAGCAGTCTATAGGTACTAAATCCTGGTTTCAAACCTAATCACCACTCTAATGGATATCACATTGTCCCCAAAACATAGACTCCTCATCCTGTGTGATTACAAAATTCAGCTATATCTGATAACCTTTTTCTTTTTTGTAAGCAGTAACTTCAAGAGTGATAGAATTTAGGTGACATTGTCTTATAAAACTGTTGTTCAAAATGGGTGTTCTGCAATTTAATAATGTATAATGATTCTGGCAGAGAAAGCAAGCCCTTAGCTTTTTTTTGACGTGCCTGAGATGTTAGCTATTGAAGACTCTCTTTATGCACAAGTACAGATATTTGAAGTTCAAATGAGAAACCCTTTCATCTTGACTACTGCAGGGTGCTAGGGATCAAAACTATTCCAAAAATAGGGGCATAAAATTCAGTTTAAGAAAGTAGTTTACAACTTCTTAGAGCTCAAATCCATTAGCCTTATTTGTTCTGGAAAATTCTTGCTATACAGAGACTGGCTAGAGACCACTTTGAAGAGGACTGTGGTATAGTTGAAAGAACCTAGGAGGATTTAGATGGCCCAGGTAAAGTTGTAATTCTGACTTTTACTGGCTGTGTGATCTTGGACAAGCCATTCTACTGCTCAGTTTCCACATCTGCAAAATGGCAATAATAATAACCACCTCACAGAATAATTGTGAGTATCAAAGAGATAATGTGTGTTATTAAACACATTATAATGCACTATAAAAACACTAATTATTATAGATTTTTCTTGCAGGTGAATATACTGAATGTAATTCTACAATATTTAAGATATTTCCATTAGTTCCTATGTTCTATGACACCATTCTTAGGAAAATCAGTTCTGGTAGGTTGTGGGTTGTGGGGAGATTTTCAGTAGCAGATTAATAATAATGTACACTTGTATAAACTTTGACATCCTTGAGTGGTGCAAACAATTAGTGCACTCAGCTGCTAACCAAAAGGTTGGAGGTTCAAGTCCACCCAGAGGCACCTCAGAGGAAAGGCCTGGCAATATAATTCTGAAAAGCCAGCCATTGAAAACCTTGTGGAGGACAGCTCTACTGTGACACACATGGGATCAGCATAAGTCAAACTGACTCTATGGCAACTGGTTTATATAAATGTTACAGTTTATAAAATGGTTTTCATTTTCATTCAACTACAGCCTTTGAAATAGTCATGACTGTCATCATTGTCATTTTGTTGAATACTGACTGCTATCAAGTTGATTCCCACTCATAGCGACCCCATAGGACAGAGTAGAACTGCCCCGTAGGGTTTCCAAGGCTGTGAATCTTCACAAAGCCAACTGTCATATTTTATCCCACAGTGTGGCTGGTGGGTTTGAACCGCCAACCTTTTGGTTAGCAGCTGAGTGGTTTAACCTCTGTGCCACCAGGGCTCCTATTTTATGGAATAGGAATCTAAAATTCAGAGAGGTTAATAAATTTGTTCAAGGATAGCTGGATGTTGCTGTTCGGTGCCATCGAGTTGATTCCAATTCATAGTGACCCTATATGACAGAATATAACCGCCCCATAGGGTTTCCTAGGCTGTCATCTTTACAGGAGAAGATTGCCAGGTCTTTTTTCCCATGGAGTCTCTGGGTGGGTTTGAACTGCCAATTTTTTGGTTAGCAGCCAAGTGCGTAACTATTGAGCCAGTAAGCAACAAAGAGGGATTCAGGCTAAATCTGCTGATGCCAAATCAATTTGTTTTTTCTACTATACACTGTGAGGCTTTCTAACTACATTAGAGCCAATTATTTTAGAGGCAGACCCACAATAGCTACTGAGGTGGGGGAACATGTTGTTGGGACCAGTTTGGGGCCAATTCTGGGTTCTGGGTGAAGTCCCCAAGAAAAACGTAGAAAAGGCCTCTGCACTTGTTGGGAAGGGAGAGGAGATACTGGAGTAGATCTCACTAAGCTCTAATGGCTGTGCTGCGGTGACATCAGAACCTCCATGAGAATTCAGAGCACCACAGGTGAGTTATCAAAGGCCACCTGCCTTCAGCAGCTCTTATGACCTAGAAAGCCTTGTGTTACTCTAAGTCCTTCTTGTTATGTAAAACCACGCCTTGCTTAAATAGAAGAAAGCACAGAAGTTGTGTTTCAAACCGGTAGATGATCAGTAACGCAGCAAGATGGGAAGAATGTTGTTGTTGCTGAGTGCCCTCAAGTCAGCTCCGACGCATAGTGACCCAATGTACAACAAACAGAACAAAACATCGCCCTGTCCTGTGCCATCCTCACGGTCATTGTTATGCTTAAACCCATTGTTGGAGCCACTGTGTCAATACAGCTCATTGAAGGTCTTCCTCTTTTTCACTAACCCTACTTTATCAAGCAAGATGTCCTTCTCCAGGGACAGGTCCCTCCTGATAACATGTCCAAAGTATGTGAGATGAGGTCTCGCCATCCGCACTTCTAAAGAACAGTCTGGCTGTACTTCTTCCAAGACAGATTTGTTCATTCTTTTGGCAGTTCGTGGTATATTCACTCCAACACCACAATTCAAAGGCACCAGTTCTTCTTTGTTTGGTCTTCCTTATTCATTGTCCAGCCTGCGCATGCATATAAGGCGATTGAAAACACCATGGCTTGGGTCAGGTGCACCTTAGTCCTTAAAATGACATCATTGCTCTTTAACAGTTTAAAGAGATCTTTTTGCAGCAGATTTGCCCGAGGCAATGTGTCCTTTGATTTCTTGACTGCTGCTTCCATGGGTGTTGATTGTAGATCAAGTAAAATGGAATCCTTGAAAACTTCAATGTTTGCTCCATTTATTATGATATTGCTTATTGGTCCAGTTGTGAGGATTTTTGTTTTCTTTATGTTGAGGTGTAATCCATACTGAAGGCTGTAGTCTTTGCTCTTCCTAAGTAAGTGCTTCAAGTCCTCTTCACTTTCAGCAAGCAAGGCTGTGTCATCTGCATAACACGGGTTGTTAATGAGTCTCCCTCAATCCTGGATAATCAAAATGCAGAAGAAAAATATTTTTCCTTTTTCATTTAGTGTTCTTTAGGTTGCCTGGGATTGAATTAGGAAGCTGGGGTCGGGAAAAAGAAGTGTTCTTCAATCACGTCATAGCTGCTCTGCAGCCAACCAACCCAAGTAAATGGTGAACTGGGGCCCTCTCTTATTCTGGTCCTTTGGGAGGTAACTGAGCAACTGAGTAGAGACTTAGGAACTGCTGAAAGAGGACAACATCTACTGTACGAACATTGTCTAAGATCATCCACAAACTATCAGACAAGACAAAACTCTTTCAGTTACCATAAAACCTGGCCCAGAGTCTTGTTTTTTGTTTTTTTGCGGCTTCATTTTCTACTCAAGATTGCATTTAGTGTTTACTTTTACCTGATATTTTATGTAAAATTAGTGTGTGATTTGTTTTGCATCGTAGCTCCCCTGAGGACTGTTCTAGTGCTGAGACCAGATTTCCTTTATCCATGTGCCAGCGTGTGCCCAGTGAATGAGGCTGAGGGGTCCTTGCTGAGGAGTAGACATTTATTAACTATGTGTTGGATAGACATGTGGCAAAAGCTGTCTTTAACAGGAGACCACTTGACTATAAAGCTCATATGAAAATTGATTACTCATAGATGTAATCGTTCACAATTAGTGACAAGTTATACACTGCACTGCAGTTGAAGGCTTCCTAGTTGCACAATCAGTTAAGCACTCAACTACTAACTGAAAGGTTGGTGGTTCAAAGCCACCCAGAGGTGCCTCAGAAGAAAGGCCTGGTGATCTGCATCCAAAAGGTCACAACCTTGAAAACCCTAGGGAGTGCAGTTCTACTCTGCACACAGGGAGTTTCCATGAGTTGTTATCAATTCAACGGCAACTGGTAATAAGAGTACTGCAGTTGAAGTAATTAGTTCTTTCAACAGTAAACAATAATAAAATCTTAAGAATTTGTCATCAACTACTCTTTACAGCAAGAATTTGATACTTCAGTAATGACTTCTAATCAATACATCGTTTCCAACCTAGTTCACCAAAAGAATAGTCTACAATTTCTTTCTCACCTTGCTCACTCCCCACATGTTGTTGTTGTTAGGTGCCATTGAATTTGTTCTGACTCATAGCGATGCTATGTACAACAGAACGAAACACTGCCCGGTCCTGTGCCATCCTGACAATTGTTGCCATTGTTGCAGCCACTGTGTCAATCAATCTCATGGAGGGTCTTCCTCTTTTTTGCTCACCCTCTACTTTACCAAGCAAGATGTCCTTCTCCAGGGACTGGTCCCTCCTGATAACATGTCCCAATTTCGTGAGAAGTTTTGCCATCCTCACTTCTAAGGAGCATTCTGGCTGTACTTCTTTCGAGACCGATTTGTTTGTTCTTCTGGCAGTCCATCATATATTCAATATTCTTCACCAACACCATAATTCAAAGGCATCAGTTCTTCTTCTGTCTTCCTTATTCATTGCTCAGCTTTTGCATGTATATGAGGCAACTGAAAATACCATGGCTTGGGTCAGGTGCACCTTAGTCCTTAAAGTGTCACCTTTGCTTTTTAGACTTTTAAGAGGTTTTTTGCAGCAGATTTGCCCAGTGCAATATGTCGTTTGATTTCTTGACTGCTGTTTCCATGGGCATTGATTGTGGATCCAAGCAAAATGAAATATTTGACAACTTCAGTATTTTTTCCATTTATCACTGATTTCTTAAATATGAAGTTATAAACATAAGGGAAAATACGGTACTTACTGTCAAGCTTTATCAAATCTGGACATGCTGCCCTATATACTTCAGGCTTAGTTATAAATGATAAAGCAGAACTGATACAGTTGCAAAATCCTGTACCCTCCTTAGTACTATTCCTCTTTTTCCTCGTCAGTGATCACAACTATCCAGAATTTGATATTTATCATTCCTATAAAACCAAAAAAAAGAAAAAAACCCAAAAAACAACAAACTCATTGCCATCAAGTCGATTCCAACTCATAAGGACCCTATAAGACAGAGTAGAACTGCCCCATAGGGTTTCCAAGGAGCAGCTGGTGGATTCAAACTGCCAACCTTTTGGTTAGTAGACAAACTCTTAACTATTGTGCTACCAGGGCTCATTCCTATACATGTTTTAAAATTCTGTATGTTAGTATCCATAAAGAATATGTAATATTTTGAAACTTTATATGGTAGTATCATACTGGGTGTATCCTACAACTTGCATTTTTGTCTCAAAATTATTAGTTAAGATTTATCCTTATTGATAACCTGTAACTCATTCATTTTTACAGGTCTATAGCAGGGATCAGAAAACTTCTTTCTGTAAAGGACCAGAGAGTAAATATTTTAGGCTTTTCAGGCTGTACAGAATCTGTGCCAACTACTCAACTCTGATGTTGTAGTGTGAGAGTAGCCAAAGGCAATACAGGAACAGGCACGGCTGTGTTCTAACAAAACTTTATTTATAAACACTGACATTTGAATTTCATGTAATTTTTACTTATCACAAAATATTCTTCTTTTCATTTTTTCAACCATTAAAAAATGTAAAACATTTTCGTGGGCCACACAAAACAGGCAGCAGGACAATTTGGCCCATGGGCCATACATAGTTTGCTGACCCCCACTCTTCAGCATTCTGTTTCCATGGTGTGTTAATCTGTTCCCTTGTCATAGCACATAAAGCTGAAATTTCTTTTGTGACCTGATACATGATCAATATTTTTTTGCAGATGACTTACGGGCACTTACAAAAATATTTTTATGATATGGAAATATATAAATATAAATGAAAGTGTAAGTATAAATGTAAATCTAGACAAAGCCTGCTAATTTTGTTCTTCACATCCTTTACATCCTTTCCGATGTTCATTTGTGATAAAGGTATATTAAAAATCTTCCTCTGTGATTATAAGAATTTCTTCTTATAATTCTTTCAGGTTCTGTTTTATGTATGTCAAAGTTATGCAGTCACAGACATACAAGTTGATGACTGTCATGTTTTCATAATGAATTTTCTTTTGTTATGATAGTGTCCAGAATTATCCCTTTTGACACTTTTTGACTTTAGTTCAGTTTTGCCTTATATAAATATCATTGTTCTAGCTATATGTATTTCAATACCTTTATTTTCAAGCTTCATGTGGTCTAGTTTGGGGCATGTCACTTATAAACAGCACAGCTCTTTTGTTTTTAATCTCCCTGCATGTCAGTTTAATCCAGCCCTGGCATAGTGGTTAAAAGCTCAGCTAGACTATCTTGGTTATAATCCTGGTGCTTCCACTTGCTCTCTGAGTGACCCTGTGCAGTTTTTTTAATCTCTCTGCACCCTGGTTTTCTTATCTGTAAAAAACTGAGGATAATGTTAGGACCTCATTATAGGGTTATTGTGGGGATTAAATGAGATAATATAAATTTATTTCTTTGGCCAATGCCTAGCATGTGGTAAACACTCAGTAATTGCTAGCTATTAATTTTTTGTTGTGATTATTGATGTATTTGGACTCATTATTACCGTTACTTTGTGTTTTCTGTTTTTACCATTCTTTTCCTTTTGTTTACCATTTCCTTTTCTGTTAATATTCCCTTTTTATTTCCTCTGTTTTGGGGGATAATCTATTTACTATTCTTTTATTCTTTTCACGATTATCCTTAAAATTTTATAGTTTTATTGAGGTATAATTAATATACAGTTTGACTTGTTTTGACATATGTATAAACCAAAAAAAAAAACTAAACCCGTTGCCATCAAGTTGATTCCAACTCACAGCAACCCTATAGGACACAGTAGAACTGCCCCATATTGTTTCCAAAGAGTAGCTGGTAGATTTGAACTGCTCATCTTTTGGTTAGCAGCCAAGCCCTTAACCACCATGCCACCAGGGCTCCTGATGTATGTATACACTCCTGAAACCATCAAGTCAATCAGTATAATTAACATTTCCATCGCGTGAAAAAATTTTCTCTGCCCCTTTCCTCTCATCCGTTCTCCTCCCCTTCCTAGTCAAGCACTGGTCTGCTTTCTCTCGCTACGGAATAATTTACAATTTGTAGAATTTTATGTAAACAGAAACATAAAGTATATACTCTTTGACTGAATTATTTCATTCAGAAAAATTCTTTTGAATTCATCCATGCTGTTGGATATATCAATAGTTTGTTCTTTTTGCTGAAGTAGCATTCTATTATATGGATATACAATAATGTGTTGATCTATTCACCTGTTCATGGACATTTGAGTTGTTTCCAGTTTGGGCTATTATAAATAAAGCTGGTATGAACATTTGTGTACAAGCTTCATGTGGACATATGCTTTCATTTCTACATCTTACGGCAGATACATGTTTGACTTTTTAAGAAAGAGACAGTTTCCAAAGTGGTCGTACCATTTTACATTCCTACCATCAGTGTAGGAAGTTTCCAGTTGCTCTGTATTGTCACCAGCTTTCCGCATTGTCAGTCTTTTTAATTTTAGTCATGTTAGTGGATATGTAGTGCTATCCTATTGTAGCAATGGATTGCCTTCGTTGTATCTTCTAAAATAAAAAAGTAGTTATTTATACAGTTAAAAATTAAATAAAGGGACTTTTAAAATTATCATATTTGTGTTTGTCATTTTTGCTCCCATGTTTTTCCTCAAGGTTCATTTTTCTCCTTGCTGAAGTATATCCTTTAATAATTCTTTTGACAATGTTCTCTAGGCAGGAAATTGCCTTAATCTTTATGTGTCTTCATTTTGCTCTCAGTCTTGAATGACAGTTTAGCTGACTCTAAGCAACCTGAAGACACTCTCTTCTGGTCTCTACTGTTACTGACAAGAAGTATGCTGCCAGTCTGTTGTCATTCTTTTGTAGGTTATCTTTCTTTCTGATAGCTTTTAAGAATCTCTGTATATTTTTAAAACTCTTCAGTTTTACTATGATGTGTTTAGATGTGGATTTATTTATATTGCTCAGAACATTCAGCACTCTTCTGATGTGAGAACTTTCCCTGATTCTGCAAAATTCTCAGTTATTTCTCTTCAAATATTTTGCTTCTCTGTATTTCCCTCCATTTTTTCCTTCTGGAATTCCTATTAGACAGATCGTGGAGTTTCTTAATCTGCTTTCCATTTCTCATAGCTGCTTTTTAAATATATTCTTTGTCTTTTTGTACTGCATTCTGGATAAATTCCTCAGTACTATGTTTCAACTCACTAGTTATATATTTAACCATGTCCAGTTGAGAGTTTACTTGAGAAGATAAATTTTTACCTTATCTACCTTTGTGTAAGCCTAGCCAAGCCCAGTCCAGTGCCCTTTATATAGAAGCTGTACAACAAATATTTGTTGATTAAATAAACATATCAAACATTGTATGTATTTGATCATTTTGTTTCTTGTTTATAGATATATAACTTTATTAATAACCAAACATCACATTTTCATAAAACAAAAAGTTACCATATAAATAAATCTGCAACTTTTAAATAAAACATAGTAATATTTATCAATACAAACAAATTTTAAATTTTTATGTGAAGTTCATGATAAATGGAGAAAACTGAAGTGGTCAAGGATTTTATTTTACCTGGATCTATAATCAACACCCACGGAAGCAGCAGTCAAGAAATCGAATGACAAATTGCACTGGGCAAATCTGCTGCAAAAGACCTCTTTAAAGTGTTGAAAAGCAGAGATGTCATTTTGAGGACTAAGGTGCACCTCATCCAATCCATGGTATTTTTAGTTTCTGGACAAGGAATAAGAAGACAGATGCCTTTGAATTATGGTGTTGACAAAGAATATTGAATATACCAAGTCTATCTTGGAAGAAATACAGCCATGGTGCTTCTTGGAAGTAAGGATGGCGATACTTCTTCTCACATACTTTGGAGATGTTATCAGGAGGGATCAGTCCCTGGAGAAGGACATCATGCTTGGTAAAGTACAGGGTCAGTGAAAAAGAGGAAGACCATCAGCAAAATGGATTGACACAGTTGGCTCAAGCATAACGATGATTGTGAGGATGGCACAGGACCAGGCAGTGTTTCATCCTGTTGTACATAGGGTCGTTTTGAGTCAGAACCGACTATACGTCACCTAACCACAACAATAATATGCAAAGTTAGAATGTTTGTGTGGGTGTGTGTGTGTGGGGGTGTGTATGTGTGAGAGAGAGAGAGATCGATCTCGCTGTAAGGATGACCAGGCTTTGTTATTCTCCTTTGGGAAAGCTTTTGGGATCTTCCGGCAGAATTCTTAGGTCATGAACCCTCCAGCCACCCCTAAATTTTGGATTGCTCTAGTATTTGATCATTTCTGTTGTTCTCTATGTTGTAACTTTATGGTGACCAAATCCTGGTCTAGTACAAGAGTAAGAATTTTCTGTTTTGCTTTCAGTGCTCTATTTGCTGGTGCTCAGCATTTCATGCCATGCAAAGTAGTACATGGGAAGATGGCAGCAGTTTGCTTTGTAAGCAAGCTACCATCTTTTAGTTGGAAGATACACTGAAGAAACTTTCCTGCTTCACTCATACTAGATGAGTCTCTCTCTCAATTTCTTCCAGCTGTAATCTGAAGTGCCTTTATTAGCTCAGGATTCACAAAGTACATAAGGAAAGATGCTAGCATCCTTTAAACATGTGAGGATGCTGGGTCAGTTGACACAGCCAGTTAAACCAGTACTACCCCATTAAATGGCTATAGCTGGTGGAGTCTAATGATCAGAAAGGACTACAAGCTGATTTGTGTAAGAGCTTCCCACGATGAGCCCAACTTTCAACAATATTGTATCTTCTCTGCAGAGAAGTGGAACATTTATCAATCCCTTAATTGCTGCTTTGACGATTGGTGGACAACAACTGTTCTCCTCTTTCACATTCAGTTGTCCCTGTCAAGTTGGGAAAAATTTCTATTATGGTTCTGCTTTTCTACTTATTCCTGCCTTGATCCTGCTGATTGCTGGCTATGCTCTGCGAAGCCAAACATGGACAATTACCAGCGAATACTGCTGTGGTTGTGCCCCTCCATGCCGCCAAACCAGCCCCCTGGAACGTAAGCTGGCTTGCCTTAGGTTCTTCAGCATCACCGGGAGAGCGCTTGTTGCTCCATTAACGTGGCTGGTGGTGACCCTACTGACAGGCACCTACTATGAATGTGCAGCAAGCGAGTTTACGTCTGTGGACCACTACCCAGCATTTGACAACATCAGTGCCAGCAAACGGGAAGAGATCTTAGCTGGGTTTCCATGTTGCAGAGCAGCTCCATCTGATGTGATCCTAGTAAGAGATGAAGTGGCTCTTCTGCACAGATACCAGTCTCAAGTAAGTTCTTGATATTTTTTTCTGAAAAAAAAATCCCATATTAAATACAGTCAATGGAAAATATTCACATTCCTGCTGCTTCTTGTATTATTTGATTATAGAATATAAACCAGATGTCATTTATAAGTGAGTTCTACTGAAAGGCTATATAAATATAGTTAGGAGGTTGGGCTTTGGAGTCAGCAGATCTGGGTGAATCTTGCTTTGCTACTTACTATATTGCAAACTTGAGCAAGCTATATAACTTACCCATGCCTCATTTTCCTCAGCTGTAAAATGGACAGCTTAACATTACTGCATAGAGTTGTTATGAGGAATAAATCAGATAATACTTCTAAAGTGCTCAGTACTATTCCCAGAATCTGTATTATAAGCAATACATTTTAAGTATTATTATTACTACTATATTACTAAATCCTATCTGTCTGAATATATATGTATATGTATATATATATGTATATATATATATATACACATCCTTAGCTATGCATTTTTATATATTAGAATCTCATCTAAAACTGCAGGAAGCTTGATTAGGATTAAAAAATAAACTTCAGTGGTGGTTCTAAATTTAGTGTTCATAGATAGGTTTCTGTGTGGGATTTGGTGGGGAGTACCTGAACCTACTGTACTTACACATTAAAAAAAAAGTGTAGATGTGCATTTTTCTCTGTAGATAAGGAACTGTTGGCTTTCATCAGTTTCTCCAAGGGATTTAGGAAAAAACACATTTTCAAATCACTGTGATACAGTAAAAACGTGAGTTTTTTAAACTACTTATTGCAAAGGCAATGATCTTTTGGACTCAAGACATTTCACTCATATAAATTCAGAAGTACTAATGCTATTCAAATGAAAAAAATATTACCAAGATGTAGCATACCAAAATATTGCATTTGGCCCAGTTTAGGAAAAGTTAGAAATCTCATTAAGATATGCTTTGTCTTCAACCTTTTTATACTAGCCCTAAAACTTAGGCAGAAGCAGCTATGTGAAAATCTGTGAAAGATTAAAAAAATCAATGAGGCAATCAAAACTTTAAAAAATGTTCTTGCTTAATAAAGAGTAAAATGTGGCACATAATGGTAATATTTTCTTAAAGTTAAAAGTAAAATATTAAATGTATACAAAGGCTTATTATGTGAAAAGATAGTCTTTTAGCTCTGAGTGCCATCAGGCAATGGAGTCTTTTGGAAAATGACAACAAAATCCACATTTATTGAGATGTTTATCATATACCGTATAAATAGTTCATCTATTAACTCAAATCTTTATAACGTTTAGAGGCAGATATTGCCTTCATTTCACAGATGAGTAAACTGAAGCTCAAAGAGTTTGCATAACTTGCCTAAATTCATAAAACTGTTAAGTGGCTGATTGATATATCCAAAGATCACATTGTTTCCATGTCTCCAGGCTGCCTTCTATACTACCTCCAAGTTCCATCTCATTTGAGGAATATACACTGTTTTTCAGCAGGATTTTCCTGGGTTGACCACAAAATCATATTTAGTTCAAATGCCATCTCTACCCATACCCAAGTCTAAAATACCTTCTTGCCAGTATTTTCATTCAATTTCAATCTGCCTTCCACACCCATGCCAAAATTACCTTTCTAAATGCAAATCAGATGCTGTGATTCCCTTATCTAAAGTACTTCAATGATTCTCTGCCAACCTAAGCACAAATTCAAATTCCCTGGCATGACATACAAGGTCTTTCAATGTCTACCCCCTGACCACTTTTACACATGATTCTTGTGACCCTGTGAATACAAATTTCTTGAGATTCTATCAACCCTTCATGCTCTTATTTTTCTGTCTTCTTCCCTTATTATAACTCTCCTCAACTTCTTACATCTGGTTAACTTCTCTTTAATAATTTCCGTCTCAACTTCTGCATCATTTCCTCTGGGAAATATTCCCTGATACTCTTCTCCCTCAGATGAGTCAGTTTCTCTTCTGTCGTGTTTCTTCAGCACCCTGTGTTTACCTGTATCAAGAACTGTTTTACTATACTGTTTTTCTTGGTTTTCTGGCTTATCTCCCTTTTTAGGCTTAAAGATTGTGGTGAGAATGATAGTATCTTAAATTATTTACATCTAAGTACCCATAACAAAGCACCATGTCCAACCCATGATGGGAGCTCAACCTGGAGCTCAATTAAGTGGTAGTTGCTGAGATAATGGGTTTCTGAGATGGCCTTTCCTCCACCACGCTGGCCTCTATTGAGTTAAATCGTAATGAAATATCACTTTGTAGGTTTTAGCCTCCATAGAGTACAACTACCCCACTGTGCACACGCTGGTAATTCCAGGCCTGGTGATGAATCACAAGCTGCAGAAAGACCTTCATCTCCCAAACTGTAGCTGTACACTGCTGGCTTTCCTAAATGTGTGGAACTTTCTCTCACTTTACATCACAACTGCTAAATGTTTTAAAAACAAGAAAAGAATTATAAGAGCAGAAATCAGCCACTTACTCCAGTCTTTAAAAGTGGACACTAAATAAAAATCTACTTATCATGACTCCTGTTGTGTCAGAGTAGAACTGTGCTCCATAGGGCTTTCAATAGCTGATTTTTCAGGAGTAGATCGCCAGGCCTTTCTTCTGAGGCATCTCTGGGTAGACTTGAATCTCCAACCTTTTGTTTGGCAGTCAAGCATATTAACCATTTGCACCTCCCAGGGACTCCTGGACACCAAATAGTCTTAGAAAAATCCAGTTCATTTTCTCTTCAAAGTATGTTTCAAAGACAAATCATAAAACTGGTTAGCAAATGACTATTTGAAGGGGGAGAGAAATGGAAAGGAAAACAATCACATACTCCAAGGCACAATGACTATACTATCAATAAATAATACGTTTAGGGACATGATAGTCTACTCACTGATTTTCATCTTTGGTGGCAAAAAATAGGGAAGGAGCAACTCAGGACGAAAATCAATGAATACTTGTTGGAACTTCATTGAAGACATCATAGAAGGCTATAATTATTACCTATCATTTCATCGTTTTCATCACCATCATTATCAAATATTTATTAAGTACCCACAGAATGCATAGCCTGTCCCTGATGACTGGGAACTAAGGTTGAGCTAAAAGCAGAGAATGTAGTTTATGTACTCACATTAAGGGTAATTGGTGGGTTATAGTGCCTGTCACTTCAAGGACAGTACTTAGAATCCATTCCAAGTCAACTGGCCAAATTCCTATGTAATCCAAAAACCAAGTTGAAATGTCTGGGCCTATATTTTCTTTCAGAGTCCCTGGATGGCAAAAACAGTTAACATGATTGGCTGTGAACCAAAAGGTTGGTGTCTCAAGTCCACTCAGATGTGCTTTGGAAGAAAGGCCTGGCGATCTACTTTCAAAAACTCAGTCACTGAAAACCCTCTGGAGCACAGTTCTACTCTGACATACATGGGGTTGCCATGAGTCAGAGTCAACTAGACAGCAACTGGTTTCTTTTTTTCATACATATTCTTTCAGACCTATATCCACATGAAATGATCAGTAACTTCCTCTTGTTAATATATTGTCATTGTTGGGTGCCATCGAATGGATTCTAACTCATAGCAACCCCATGCAACAGAGTAGAGCTGCCCCATAGGGTTTTCTTTGCTGTAACTTTTACAGAAGCAGATCACCAGGTCTTTCTCCTGTGGAGAAGTTGGATGGGTTTGAACCACCAGCCTTTCAGTTAGCACTTAACCATTGCACCACCAGGGCTCCTTTGTTAATATTTTAGAAACTGGAAAAACAAAGTTCTTACCCACGTTTCAGTTCTCAGCTTTGCAGGAATCCCTCCTACCATGCCTGTTTCTTGACTATTCGATGTAGTAATGCTTTCTGTTTTTCTTTTTAATTATGTGAAGATGCTGGGTTGGATTTTGATTACCTTGGCAATCATCACTGTCCTAGTCTCCTGCTGTTTGGCAAGGTGCTGCTCTCCCCTCACCTCTCTGCAGCATCACTACTGGACCACCTACCTGCATAATGAGAGGGAGCTCTTTGAACAAGCAGCAGATCAGCACTCGAAGCTCCTCATCATGCAGCGCATAAAAAAACTATTTGGCTTCATTCCTGGGAGTGAAAATGTCAAACACATCCGTATTCCTTCTTGTCAGGACTGGAGAGAAATTTTAATACCCAGTCTTCTGTGCATGGGTAATGACCTGCAGGGTTACTATAGCTTCCTTGGAGACAGGGTGGATGAGGATAATGAGGAAGGCAAATCAGAAGGTATTGAATTAAAACCTTGATTACAGCACCTTTTATAATTCAGGCGGCTTAACAGATATTTTATTTTTATGATGATGGAGTTTCAATGTAATCTCTTCATCTTTTTCTTTCTCTTCTAATATTTGTTTACATAAGGACATCGAAAATTCTATTTCCAAAATCAATTTACCTGATAATTGTGCCAAAGTCTCTCCCTTTTTGAAATTTCATTGATGGTCTGGTAATGCCTAAAGTACCCATTCTTGTCTAATTAAAATAACCTGAAATTTGAAATCATATCAAAATTTGAATCTTGATTCTGTTACGTAGTAGCTGTGTGAAAATTAACATTTCTGTGTGTCATTTTGTCATCTGCACAGTGATAGCAGCCACCTTCTAGAGCTGTTATGAGGATTAAATGTGATAATATAAGTAATGTGCTCTGCACAGTGCCCTTCATAAAATAAGTGCTAATAAATGTTAGTTTCTCCTTTCCTCTTTGCATTCCAATGTCTTCTATCATGGTTTTCCCAGTCTCTGTTTTCTCATTTTCTCCATTTTTACCTCTATATTATGTCCAGGAACTCTTCACTGCCTCCTCCTCTTTTTACAAGCTTAAACATATGACCTTTTGGGAAGCAGGGCAAACAGCTCTTTCTAATGGTAACACGTGAGGGAGAAGCTCATACCAGAAGGTCTTGAGTCATCCTATCATAACCAGGGCAAGATGATGCATCATCTTGTCAACGTTAGTATCATAAATGTTACTTGTAACACCTGCATTCTAAGAGCATTTTTATAGCAACTGCACATAAAGCTTATTCCAGAGAGCTTCCCAGACTCTGTGCTCCACTATAGGGATGCTATCTGTGCCTTTTCAAAGTTGTTATTATCAAATTGCACCTTTGCACTCAAAATCCGTTTGGGGAACCAAGACTGCAACCTATACTTGTATATCCATTACCTAGAACTCCAAGAGGGGATACCTGCCTGACGTTTCTCTGCCTGGCTTTATTAAGTAGAACCTCTAGTGTCTGACAGCTTTCCAATTTATCTTGATTATGTCGATGTGTAGTGTTTAGTGCCTGATTATTGCCATTTTCATTAAAGTTATGGGCTCATTGGTCAAAATAAGCAATCAGAGGGCTCTTTCTTTTTCTTTAGCCGAAGCAATCGTTTCTTACTGAGCGATGAACCAGCTGCCAGTGGTCAACTTGACTGTCAAGATTCACTTTCAATGACGAGAGAACTTGATTATCTAAACTGCAGTTAATTATTTGGTGATCTATTTTTACACAATTATGAAATAAAGAGTACATTTTGTAAAACTCTTAGTAGAAACAATAGAAAGTGAATTTTAAGGAAAGAAAATGTTTTCTGTTTTTTACCAATTAAAGACTGTGTAGTGTAGGACTTTGCTCAGATAGGAGACCTGTCTTGCCCTCATCATAATTTACTAGTCACTTAAACTTGGGCATGTATTGTTTCAAATACAAAATAGGGATAATGATACTTTACCTGCTGAAGGCAAGAAACTGAACTAACTGAATTTTTGAAGGCCCTTCCAAATATAATTAAATTTTTATGTTTATGTTTATATGTGTATGGGTCAATATGTGTACAACCCTCTAGAGTGGCACTAGACCCAGGTGGTTTCTTTTGGAAGGAAAATATCAATGAGTTTGATTCTGAGCTTTCTCTAGAGACATTTGCTGGCACTCCATTTTTAGAAGAATATTAACTGTACTGATGTTTTTCAAGTGGCCAAGGGGAACTATTCCAGTTTGTCACCTAACTCTATACCCTGTACTGATACAACATTACAAGAGGGATTAAAAAAAAAAAAAGAGGCACATTGTGGAAGGTTCTAGTTTTCTTCTGACATATATTAGCCATGTATATGTGGTCACAACCACTTTCAAGTTTCACTCTAAGGTCTCCTCCAACTCTATAGCTCTATTTCTCTGAGAATTTTTGAAATTCCTCTGTATTGGGACATTTAGTTAAATCAGCACTGTACACTGTGCTCAGAATTAGTTTAGGAGCGTCCTGGGAATACACCACAGTAAAGACTCTGCAGTAAGATTTTCAGTTAACAGCAAAAAACTCAGAATATTTGAAGTTAAAGCATTATATCATCAGAAATAAGATTTAGAATTGTTTATACCATAATATGAGGGAACTTTGTTTCCACTAGCTTCTGGAAGCCCTTTCTACATCAAAGTCTTTAAGAGTATGATATACACAGTTTATATTTGAAACCAGTTAAGAATAATCTTCTACTCTAACTTTCTAGCAAAAGATTGTACTTATTTTCTGGCTCCTCCACATGGCTTCAAAGTGCTTTATAGCATCTATGTGAACATTTAAAGGATAGTACACATTCTTGGGTTTCATTGTATATTATCCATTTCAGATTAAACTAAATTCCTAGTCTCTCTCTCTTTTTTTTGGTCCAGAGTATTCTTTTGTACCACAGCCAGTTAGACAAAAATTTCCATTAAGAACATGGTACTTCCTCCCCTTTATGCTTAATGGATTTATATAATTATAAAACATATAATTACAATCAATTATGTGCTAATGCTACCTTATATTTTGCTACCAAATGCTTTTGGCTACCCCATCAAATGCTGTGGCTTGGCATATATACAGACTTGCTCATTTCTTAACCTCAGTTTTGTCAATTCTACCCTCCCCCATCACAATCTAAGTTGCCTCCTTCCTAGGACCCACAAATATAATTCCAGTGCTTAGAATAGATGTGTCTTACTCAGCTTTCTTTACGTTTTCTGATGCTGAACTGAAGAACCACGTTACATGTTGTCATCCTCTTTTGTCGCCTCTCTGTTTTCCATCTCCAATTCCTTTCAAAAAAAGAAAAGATTCTAATACACAATTGCAATGAGAGACAGCAATGTGATTTTACAAAGTGATTGCTTGCATTCAGTTTGTAGCACAAAGGGAAATCACATTAATTCTAAAATTTTGAAATATTATGACCAACCAAAGGCTTTCGGAATGCAAGACTAGGTAACTGTTTGCTATTACAAAATATAAGGTGAGGGAGCTATAACTTCAGCTTTTGAATAAAGTCCACCAACAGATACCGGGCTATGGTGGCAGTCTGAGGAGAGCCTGCAACTGGCTGCACAATTGGCTCCTTGAGCTGCGGGACACAGATCCATAAACGTGACTCTGGGACAGAAGAGCAATGGATGACGTTTCCAGAGAGGCAAGAAACATTATTCTCGACTTGAATTGTCTTGCTTTACTAACGCCAAGATTGAATGTTTCTAATCTCAGTACTAGAGAATGTCAGAAAGTAAAAGGATTTCGAGTATGGTTTCCTCTGCTGCCTCCCAGTGGTCCAGACAGATATCTGCAACTATCTGTAGGGATGATAGTAACCCGTTGCCATAGAGTGGGCTTGGGGATTATCCCGATGATGTGAATGTCAGCAGGATGGATCACTGGGAGCCATCTTGGAGATGGCTTCCACACCTGGATTATTCACTGATTAAAACAGAAACAAAATCAGTTGCCCATCCAGTCTACTCTAACTTATGGTAGAATTGTGCTCCATAGGGTTTTCAATGGCTGATTTTTTGAAAGTAGATCATCAGGATTTTATATTACCTAGGGACTCTGTGGTGACAGTAGTAGCAGTAAAAACAGTAACTATATGGAGTGCTTACTATAAACTGGCTACTTTAAATGAATCATCCCATTTACTCCTTACAACAAACTGGTAAACAGAAAACGACTTGCTGAAATGACACTGAATAACATAGAAAACGTGAAGGAATTTTGTATAAAGTCCTATACAAATGAAATGTTTTCTTATTCATATAGTTATTGTATTAGCTAACAGGTGAATCATGGGTCATAATTGGAATCCAGGCCTATTTAACCTCAATAAAGTAAGTTTCCCACATTTTATTGAGGAGGTAACCGATACAGAGAAGTCAGGCAATTTGCCAAAGGTCACATGCCCATAAGTCATGGAGTCAGCATCCATCCCCAGCAGTCTGGCTTCTGAACCTGCTCTTCCGAGCACTGTGCTGGAATACAGCCACAGAGGCAGCGTATCAACCTGCCAGGGCGTTATAGGTGTTAGGAAGATTCTGCTCCCACTCCTGTTAATGAATAACTTAAACATCTTGAGCTCCAACAGTAAGGTGCCTTATCACTTCTGAGTACCTCTATTTCTACTTTCACTGTCCCTGCATATAGAGGAGCTCACCTTCAAGACACTGTTCTTTTTTGAAGAGTGACGTATCTACTTTCACTGGAGCATAGCTTTGGACTTGGGCTGCCCAACTACCAGTGGCACTGACTCTGTTAGCCACAGACCAACCCAAGCCGGCCCAGAAGCCTCAGGTATTCTCTTTTCAGATGCAGGGGATGGGCCACCCAATCCAAACCCGTTGCTGTCAAGTCAATTCCAACTCATAGCTACCCTATAGGGCAGAGTAGAACTGCCCCATAGAATTTCCAAGGCTGTAATCTTTACAGAAGCCAACGGCCACACCTTTCTCCCATGGAGCAGCTTGTGGGTTCAAGCCACTGACCTTTCAGTTAGCAGCTGAGAACTTAACCACTGTGGAACCAGGGATCCTATAGGAGATGGGCAGGATACCACTATAATTTGTCCATTTGTTTTCTGTAGGCCATAGTTATGAAGGTCCCTGGGTGGTGCAGATGGTCAACATGCTTGGCTGCTAACCGAAAAGTTGCAGGTTTGTGTCCACCCAGAGGTGCCTCAAAAGAAAGACCTGGTAATCTACTTTTGAAATATCAGCCACTGAAAACCCTATGGAGCACAACCTACTCTGACACACATGGGGCCTCCATGAGTCAGAATCAGACAGCAACTGGTTTTACTAGATAGTTATGAAGGGTCAAAATGGTACTCAGGTAAACATGGTCTCCAACCATTCATACGGTCTTATATAACCCAATCTCTTAATTTTCCCTTCGCCAAGATACGGAAGGGTGAGTAAATTGTGGGAGTGGGTGATTAACTTATTTTGAGTCACAGACCCCTTTGAAGAGCCATTCTGGGGAAAGCTATTTTTAGAAAATGATCC